AAATAATGAATATTTCACGCAAACAATTATGGATTAAGAATGAGCATTTAGTGAGCAATTAGTTGCACATATTAGTTTTTTACTGCTATAGGTTTTTTATGCTGTTGTAATTTTGTAGTAAGTTACCATCAGATCTCGGTCGGTAAAATAAAGGTTGAGCACTACTATTACCGATATCAGCTTAGCTATGTTACTAGAATTTCAATATATTTGAAACTTTCTTATTTCCTAGTAACTTTTAATTGTAAGTAATGTACACAAAATGATGTGTAATTAAATGCTATATACATTTAAAAACAAACAACAATAGTCATTCATATTTAAGTTAAATGTAAAAGTTTAAGAGCATGTACAATATATTTTTAGGAAAAATTTTAATTTAATCATTAAGGAATCTTTTTGTAAAACATACGAACTTTCTTTATATACGGCTGATAGTTTAAAAAGTGTGTGTATCAGCTCCGACGCATGACTGGAGTTTACTCTTTAAGAGATAGATATGTTTTCTTGAAGCGGTCATTTGATCGCTCATGGTAGGATTAGGTATACATGAAATGTCAGTAGGTTTACTGTTAAAGTACCGTTATTTAGGACAGTGTTGCATTAACCTTAAGCCAATCATTTGAGGGTATGAAAGAATACGTTCTTTCAACTTAAAAGGATAAAAATTACTTTCCTTTAGTTTGACACAGTGTAACACATTCATCAAGTAAATAAATCTATTGCAATATTATATAAATACATATTTTTCTCGTGCATCTCGATAATATATTTTTCGAAGAAAAGATAAATAATTCTACTGAAATACGAAGAAATTTGATAATCGATTTATGTACATTAATCGATGACGTGGACGATCAACGCCGAACGTTTTCAGCAAAGTATAAAGAGAGTTATTATCTCGATCATCTCAAGTAATATATATTTATATTATTTAATAATAATTGCATCCTGTGTCGAATAATATTACATTGTTTTATTCTTGTAATGGAAGTTCGTCGCAGACGTATTAAAACAAATGATAACAAACGTTCTTCACGGTTAAGCGCGAAATTTGATTGCGATGAGATCGGTACCGGCGATTATCTTACAACCAGGATACAAAAGGAAGAGGTAATTTATCGATCAATCTAGGATTTTTTGTTTTATACGCTTTTCTACCCTTGTATTTTTCTTTTTTCTCCATTGAAAAAATTTTCCTTTTTTTATAATTTGAAAATTATTTTAATCCTATTTTATACATAAATTTTACTGTCACATATTTGTTAATTATATTTATATTAAATTAGTGTATGTATGTATATATCTAATTTTTTATTTTATTATTTTCTTAGTTATTGAAAAAAACCCCCCCGCTTTTTTTTATTTAATAATTAAAAACTTTTGTTATTTTTTATATGATTTTACCAAGTAATATAAAGTATAAAGAAAAGGTAATAAAGCAAAATGTGTAGATAATCTATTAATAAAATAATATAAAATATTGTATATGTAAAATTAATATATTAATGCGAATACATAAATACATTGCCACTATATTTGTGAGTTTAATTTATATACATAATTAATTTCTTATGTTTTTAATATAGAACGAGCAAGAAATTGTATTGCAAAAAGAGAATGAAAATTATTTGCCCGAAGATGAAGTTAAGATAGTCAATGATGAGAAACGAGCTAGATTAAAGATATATTTGGAAATTGATCTAATAGCTGTTATTTTATTGATCGCAGCTCTTGTCACACGTCTTTATAGATTGGAAGAACCAAGAAGTATAGTGTTAGTTTAATTCCATATTTTCTCGATGATAATTTTTGTTTTTCAATAATTTGACTGATGTTGATAATGTTATTTAGGTTTGATGAACTGCATTACGGTAAATATGTAGGAATGTATATGAAACGAACATTCTTCTTTGATTCGCATCCACCTTTGGGAAAACAACTTATTTCTATTGTCGCTTATATAGCAGGCTTTGATGGACAATTTAAATTCGACAGAATAGGAAGCCCTTATGCTGATATGGTTCCTCTTTTCGCGTTACGTTTATTTCCTGCTTTATGTGGAAGTCTGATAATACCAACAGCTTATCATCTTGCCTTAGAATTAGGTCTGAAACAATGGACTGCTATGATCGCAGGAATACTCTTGTTATTTGGTAATTATTCTGATTTATGGTAAAGATGTGTTTGATATTTAAGAGAGATGATAAATGTTTTTACATTAATATTTTAGATAATGCTCTTCTTACACAATCAAGATTTATTTTAATGGAAAGTATATTGATTCAATTTTCATTATTTGGATTGTTATGTATAATAAAATTTAGAAAAGTTATGGATCAACCGACAAGATTTTCATGGTGGTTATGGTTATCTTTAGGAATTGCAAGTTTAACATGCGCCGTATGGTATTTATCTTTTATATTATCTTTTTAATATTCTATTATATATAAGAAATGTATTTTATAAGATGCATTTTTCCTTCAGTGTTAAATATGTTGGATTTTATACATTAATTCTTGCCATTTACCTTATTGCTCGAGATTATTGGTCTTTGATACCTAGGAAGACTTTATCCACGATAAAATTACTCGGTCATCTACTATTGAGAATTCTTTTAATAATCAGTGTGATGAGTACTATATATTTAGGTGTTTTCTATATACATTTAGAAACACTTTCTAAAGCTGGTCCGCATGATGCAGTAATGACCAGTGCATTCCAGGCAAGTTTAGAAGGTGGTCTTGCAAGTATTACTAAGGGACAACCTTTAGAAGTTACACATGGTTCACAAATTACTTTGAGGCATACTTATGGAAGAGCGTGTTGGCTTCATAGTCATAGTCATATGTATCCGTTAAGATATCCAGATGGTAGAGGAAGTTCTCATCAACAACAAGTTACTTGTTATTCGTTTAAAGATGTTAATAATTGGTGGATAATAAAAAGACCTGATAGAAATGACTTGGTCGTTACAAAACCTAGTGAACCAATAAAACATGGAGATATAATACAATTGGTTCATGGTATTACTAGTCGCGCATTAAATTCTCACGACGTTGCAGCACCTATGACACCCCAAAGCCAAGAAGTATCTTGTTATATTGATTACAATGTATCCATGCCTGCTCAAAATCTTTGGAGAGTAGAAATAACAAATAAAGATCAATCGGGTGATATATGGCATGCTATTCAAAGCCAAGTACGCTTGATACATGTAAATACTGAATATGCGTTAAAATTTAGTGGTAGACAGTTGCCAGATTGGGGTTTCAATCAATATGAAGTCGTAGCGGATAGATTGGTGGATCAATTGAATTCTATTTGGAATGTCGAGGAACATAGATATACTAAAAATGAAGATCTAAAGCAAAGAGAAAGAGAACTTATTAATGCAGAAATGATACCATTGCGCGCAACTACGTTAACATTTTGGGAAAAATTTGTAGAACTGCAAATAAAAATGTTATTTGGTAGTCAAGAGGGACAAAATAGTCATATGTATTCAAGTGGTCCATTGGAATGGCCGCTCATGTCTAGAGGCATAGCATATTGGGTTTCTAACGACAGCAATGTGAGTTGAAAAAGTCGTTAGTAACGTAAATATAAATATGATATATATATATATATATATATATATATATATAATGAAATAGTTTATACATATAAAGTTTCTCTCTTATTTACAGGCACAAATTCATCTATTAGGAAACATAGCAATATGGTATTCCGGTACAGCAGCTTTAATAGTGTATACTGCACTTTTAATATTTTATATTATGAGAAGAAGAAGAATGTGTTTTGATGTTATTAATAGAGAATGGAACAGATTTCTTAACGCCGGTGGTATATTACTATCTGGCTACTTATTACATTTTTTACCATTTATATTTATAGAAAGAACTTTATTTTTACATCATTATTTGCCGGCATTCGTTTTTAAAGTTCTTTTAATAGCAGTCATGATAGATCATATTTATTATTTAATAAGGTAATTAATTTTCATCATTATTTAAACGAAATGAAATATGTAAGGATTTTGTTTCTTTTTTAATGGAACATTAAAAAGTAATGCATAATTAATTTTACTTTCAGAAGACGATATACTAATAATACGATTTTATATGCAGTGACAATTAGTACTATTACATGGTTAATCTTTGTTATTTATGTATTCCGAAAATTTGGTGCACTCAGTTACGGAGTAGTACCTCTTAGTACCAAGGACATATTAAAATTAAAATGGAAAGATACATGGGACTTTATCATACACAAATCTTAGTAATTATAATTTGATCATTACTCAAATTATTTTTATATAAATTATATATATGGAGTATCCTGTATATCCTGTAACTTGTGGTACAAGTAAGCAGGAGATGATAAAACATGGAAAACTATATGAACAAATTTTATTCCACATTTTCTATTTAGTTTTTCATGTAGAATCACTCCCCTGCTCACTTGTACCACAAGTTACAGGATACTCCGTATATATATTGATGTAATTGCAAAATAAGAGATCTTTTTATTCGTGGCATATTTAAAATTAAAATGCCATGTAGTTACAAAGTTTGCCTATGCATTGTGTATGAAATATATGCACATTTGGAAAATTATAGTAATAATGATGTCCGAAAAAAAAAAAATGTATATAATTATAATCAATTAAGAGAAGCGTTAATATAAAGAGATTTATTAAAAGTTTTTCATTCCATTTAAATGCGACAAAGTACATAGCAATACTCAGATAATAATATACTCAGAATGAGAACATAAATAGATAACTTTTTAGTTATATCTTAGAATATTTTTTAAATTTAATTTTGCGCGCATTTAAAAACGACATATGATAATATATATTTAAATGAAGAAAAACAAAATGTTATCAAATTAATTTTATGAGACTGATTATATTATATTTTTTAAAAAGTCCAAACTTCTTTTTTTTTCTTTTTAATTTTTTTTTTTAAGGGAAATTCAATGCTACATTCCGTTTATATGCGATTAAATCTTTAATAAGGGCATTTTAAATTGTTAATTCCAAGTTTAGTTCTTTTTTGTACAGAAAACTCGACATTTTCATACAAGTTAAAAAAAGTTTTTGTTTGTACACAGATTTATCATCTCTCTGTTGAACAAGTTATAATTCAATTATTTCCAAATTACTCGCAACGTAATATTTAATTCATTAATTTTCGTTTAGACGTATTTATATTAATTTGTCGATGTCAAATGGCAAAACTAATTCTAAATACGTATACTAAGTTTCCTTATTATAGCTTTCGATACAATTAATTACATGTAATTAGGAAACGATTAAATTACAATTTGTCCATAGCTACTTTTTTCTTTAGCTTCTTTTTTTTTTCAATAACTAGAACCAATGAGTATTATTTGTACAATTTCTTACGTTTCCAATATCCTTATGATGATCGAAATGAAATTAAAAAGAAAAAATATAATATGCTAACAATGTAATATACATAACAGAATAGGGTAGACATTTGTCTTATCACAAATCTAAAACACGTATTTGAAATTTGTTAACACCTGGCAATTTAATTGTCAACGTTAATAAGTGAACACAATTGAACGAATGAGACCATCTCTGATACTATGGTCACTGTTACCAATTCCAAATGAAAAGAATACAGAATCACAGGTCATATGTTGCGTGCACAGTCCCATTGGGTACCAACCAACTTTGTTAAAGACTACCCCCACGCGATAAATCTGTATTGAAAAACATAATGATATTTTTAATAAGATAATACTTGTTTTTCTTTGATACGTAAGAATGAGAGAGAAAAAAACAGACCTTATGTTTTTGTATGTAAACAGCACGATTAAATGTAATTTCGACGAGAGTTCCAACATTTACTTTAGTAGAGAAATGTGTGTATGTTAAACGACTGCCATCGGAATCTAAAAGATGAGCATACAGTATTTCTGTATATGACCTATCAGGATCCGAGTTTTGATGTAAATTACTTGTCTGTAAAGAGTAATTAGACGTATAATGTATATGTACTTATTATAAAAGTTTCTTTTCTTCTTCATAGAATAGACTAACTTATGTTTTCATATCTATATTAATAAATTAACATACCACAAAAGCAATTTGTGTTGGTACTTGTACACCCATAACACAAATGTTTTTATCCACACTGAATGTCACTGAACAATCTAATACATTGCTATTAAGGCAATCCGTTGGATGGGCTATCGCTCGAAGACAATAATACTTTGGTCCCTCACGAATTCCACCTTCTATTATAACCGTTGATGAATTATTCGTTTGACTTAGATTTCCAGATTCTTTTCTTACTCCTCCTTCTACTACCATCGGCGGTGCATTATGTAAAGAATTACTACTTTCTCCTTCGACATCAAAAGAAAATTGGTATGGTCGAGATGTTGAGGGCCAAAATGTACATGAACTAAATGAATTGGTATGTGGAGTTGATACCCGTCTATGTTTCTATCAATTAAAATTCAATAGAAATGTAACTCAGGAATTCACAAATGATTATACAAGAAAATATTTTACCTCAATAAATTCAATACTCACAGATGAAAAAATATGTGTAGTCTGTGCTTTAATTGGTTTAGCCCTATTGTGCGTATCGCTGGAAAATCCTTCCGGTAATGGTGCTTTATTTTCTGTGCATAATATATTCATCAAAATAGCGAAAGCTTCATCTTGAGTCAAAAGAGGTGACATTCCTGGACTTTCAGCAAATTCTTGTGGTGTCAGAGTTAAAAATCTTATTTTGGATAAAGCATTACCAATAACAGATTTTAAGGACTTTCCATCAGTTGGATCTAATGATTTTCTTGCACACTCTGCTTTAGCCCATCTCTCAACAGCAGTAAACAGATCAAGTTCTGAACTAATCTCTAAATCGACTTGTTCTAAAACGGTAATAACTGTACCCAATTCGACTTCCTCCCAACTAGATTCTTCTAAAACTTCATTAGTTTTACTGCATATTATTTGTAAACACTTTTCCATGAGCACGGGTTCTTCAAAAAGTTTAGCAAACTCATATGCTCTACAAGCTATCTTTGGAGACAAATCGAACCACAAATATTGCATACATTCTTCCACCAAGGACGGTAACATGTACTTTTTAGCGCAATAGCATAATTCGCAGGCAAGTTCAAATGAACCGAGATTAACACGATCAGTATATATATACTCTAATAGTGCCTTGAATGCATCCGGTTGAGCATCGCGTATTTGTATAGGATCATTTTTTTCTGCCATACCTCCATAAAACATTGCTTCAAATACAGGGCTGGACATCGCCAAAAACAATTTATGTCCCTTCAATGTCTCCTGATGTGGCTCTTGACCGACAATAAATTTGCAATCTGACCATTGTCCTGTTTCAAGCAAATATTTACCACGTTCTGATATCTTTTGCTTGCTTATCTGCCAGTCACAAGGTAAACCCATCTTCTGCGGAATACGTATATGATACCTTTTAGCAATTTAATATTAAAAATTAAAATCAATTGCACAAAGGGTTTTTAAAGAAATCTGTATATATATATATAAATAAATTAGTTTATATGTTATAAATATGATATATTAGAATAAATGTATACACGTAAACGATGGATAAATATTACCGTGAATGAAATGATTTTCAATGAATAACTTAGATTATTTAAATGATTAAATAGAACGTACCTATTCTTAACGCGACGTCTCACGTCGCTATAAATACGGAATATCACATAAACGATGCCAAAAAAATGCGTAGGCCGTATCCTACACGATCATCAAAATACGCGCGGGAAAACTCCAGACTTTTCCATAATAACACTGCGATTAATAATAAACAATTAAATATTAATAAGTTTAAATAACTTTTAACTTTATTACCGATTAAAACGAATCTATTCGAACGAACAAATTAATCGTGTTAAGATACGTTTGATCGACGTAAAATCTTATGTATCAGTCCTATGCATGAAACACCACCGCCATCTTGTCTATCGCCTACCACCATTACGTCATTTTTCCGAAGTCGTTGATACACCGTCCGAGAAAATTTCTCCACCCTGTTTGTCCTCGTTTTAAGAAAAAAAAAAAAATAAAACTAAAAAAAAAATACAATATACATTTTTAAACGTAGTAACATTTCTATTAAAAATATATATCTACGCGTTTATAATCGTCATCAACTTCGTTATTGATAATGATAATAATAAAAAAAATATAATAACATACAGGATCGCATATTATAAAATTAGAAATTAATTTGATTCGTTACGTTCGATTTTTGAACGCGAATAAATTTGGATTTATTTTTATTTTTCCCCCATATATATTTCTATTTCTGTTTTATTATTATTATTATTATTATTATTAGTATTTTTTCTTTTTTCTCTATATATATATATATATTTTTTTTTTTTCTTTAGAGTTTTTATTTCTCTCTTTGTGTTTTTCACGAGAGGTTATATTCTCTTTCAGTGAAAGAAATTAACCTCTTCATCCTTTTCGCGCGTTAACGCGGAAGTGTTGTATCGCGGTATAGTTCGTATATATGTGCGCGTGTGTCGTTAATATGTATATGTGTGCGTGTATATAGTTTTTACTAGCTCATTCGTCGTCGTCGTCGTCCTCGTCGTCGTCGTCGTCGTCGTAGTGTCGTTGTCGTCGTCGGCGGCTTTGACGACCGTTGTGAATTTTCACCAATGGCGCATGCACGGCTCAGCTGTCCGCGTTTGGGATTAATCCGCGCTGAAAGATAATGCTTTTTATAGTATTTTTATTCGATTAGAGTTTAAGTGGTGGGACGTAGGTACTGTGTGGTATAATTGTGTGACGCTTTAAGTTAACGTGGATTTACCTTTATTTTCCATTCGTCCTCCTCCTCCTCCTCCTGCTCCTCCTCCTCGTCCTCGTCTTCGTCTTCGTTGTCGTATCTACGATATCGAGCATTGAAAATGTAGGAAAAGAAGAGAGATAAAATTCTATTGTGATCTACTACGAACGAGCACTTGCTGTATTATAATATACTTATAAATGATTATAGTGTTCGATGTCATACGATTTTCATGTTGATTTCTCGATCGTGGAATATCTTAGTCATTTTCGTTTAACTATGTCTATTACGACACACGTTTCGAATTTTTTCTTTCGTCAGAAGGTCTACAAGTAATACTTTGAGATCCTTGGTCAAGAAACATCTCTAACAAAAGATTCCTTATATCAATTGTATTGTCTATTGTATATGTTCAATTCTATCTGTAATAACACTCTTAAGTAAGGATCCTTTTTCTTCATATTTTTTTTTTTTACAAGAAAAACACTCCATTTCGAGTAATCAACATTTTTCATAACACGTACAAGCAATGCTTTTCTCGATTCGAACGTACCGTTTGCCTTTCATCAATCAAACGTGTCGTTACGATATCGGGTGTGCCAACAAGTCGTTGCGCATTGACTGGATACATGTGTTTTTCAAAAATTTACCTCTTCTACTTCATCGTTCTGACATCATATCTAATTAAGTAATGTAATGGTGCTGCATTACTTCTACTACGCATCAAATGTAATTTACTATTTGATATACTTCTTTGTTTACATATTTGTATACGTGCATTATTTTGTTTTAATTATACTCTTTGGTACGCAGGGAAAATGGACTAATGCACCAAGAAAAGAGTATATTGTTGCGGCATTGTAGCCTTAACTCCTAACAGGAGAAATGGAAATAATAAGAGATGAGGATAGGCGCAGGCGCCTGAGATTGTTGGAGGAACGTATTAAGGACCCTAGAAGTGTGACTAATATCGACAGTTTATTAGATACGGTCCAAGCGCTTGTTGCAGACTGTGATCATCCTGGTGTTAAGCGTATGAAGAATATAGAAGCCTATATGAATAGATGTAATTATTCTATTTATTGATTCTATTTAAATGAAAGTAAAACATCACAGCTAACAATAATTATCTTTTTATTACAGATGATTCCGTTGCCCAAGATATTTGTAAAATGCGAATGCGTACCGATGACTTTACTTTGATTAAAGTCATAGGACGTGGTGCATTTGGTGAAGTTCAATTAGTTAGACACAAATCTACTCAAAAAGTCTATGCTATGAAATTACTCAGCAAATTTGAAATGGTAACACATTTAAATGATAATTATTATTGTTATTATGTTTATATATATATATTTATAGTATATTTATTTATTGTTTTATTTTGATGATCGATAGATTAAGCGTTCGGATTCAGCCTTTTTTTGGGAAGAACGAGATATCATGGCTCATGCTAATTCTCAGTGGATAGTTCAACTACATTTTGCTTTTCAAGATCAAAAGTATCTCTACATGGTAATGGATTATATGCCAGGTGGAGATTTAGTTAATTTGATGTCTAATTATGATGTACCAGAAAAATGGGCCAAATTTTATTGTGCCGAAGTAGTGCTTGCATTAGATGCAATACATCGTATGGGATTTGTACATCGAGACGTCAAACCGGACAATATGCTGCTTGACAAGCATGGCCATTTGAAACTTGCAGATTTTGGCACGTGTATGAGAATGGATGTTGTATGTATTATGTTTAAATATGATATTATTTCTTTTCTCATTTTCAATAAATTTGAATTGTAATGTATGTGCTTGTATAATACAGGATGGATTGGTTCGTTCTGACACTGCAGTAGGTACACCTGATTATATATCACCCGAAGTACTTCAATCACAGGGAGGAGAAGGTGTATATGGTAGAGAATGCGATTGGTGGTCTGTTGGTGTGTTTTTATATGAAATGCTCGTCGGGGATACTCCATTTTATGCTGATTCATTAGTTGGAACATATTCGAAGATCATGGATCATAGAAATTCGCTACATTTCCCCCAGGAGCTTAACATTTCTCACTATGCAAAAAATTTGATATGTGGCTTTCTCACGGATAGAACTAAACGGTTAGGAAGAAATGGCGTGGAAGAAATCAAAAGCCATCCATTCTTTAAAAATGATCAGTGGACTTTTGAAAATTTAAGAGAATGCGTACCACCTGTGGTACCCGAATTGTCAGGAGACGATGATACTAGCAATTTTGATGATGTCGATAAAGAAGATGGGCCGGAGGAAAGTTTTCCAGTACCAAAAGCATTTTCTGGGAATCATTTACCATTCATAGGTTTCACATATTCGGGAGATTATCAATTATTGGCTATTAACGGAAAAGAATCTGTAGATGGATTAGAAAATCATATTAATAATGGTACTAACGATGATGCCAAAATCTCACAGTTAGAAAATTTATTAGAACGAGAAAGAAGGCAGATTGAATCTATGGAAGCAAGACAAAGAGCTTTGTCCATTCAGTTAGAAACCATGACACGCAGGGAGACTGAATTACGTGAAGAAGCGGGAAGAGCAGATAAGGAGTTAACTTTATTAAGACATAATTATAAAGAAGCACAAAGGAAAGTAGATCATGAAACAGAAGCTCGTAGAAAGGCAGAATCCTTGTTAATGGAATTAAAAAAGAAATTTGATGAGGAACAATCTAGGAGAGCACGAGATGCTAGTAATTCACAACAGACATTTGAACGTGTTAATACATTAGAAAAACAAATTAAAGAAATGCAATCTAAATTGGAAAGAGAAACAGAGACAGTAACGAGATTACGAAAACAAGCTACTGAAATTACTGTAGCTCGTCAAGCTGCCGAGCAAATGGCTAATGAACTCCAAATTGCAAGAACTCAATTGCAAGCTCAACGCGATACCTTGCAGCAAGAAGTTGCCGCTTTGCAAGTAAGATTTATAAACTTATTTATAGTCAAATTTATAGCAAATATATATGTATACTACTTTTGTTTTTTTTTTCTTTATAGGGTCAACTATCGAAAGAACGTAGCTCCCGGTCACAGGCGTCATCTTTAACAGTAGAACTAGAAACGCGCTTATCTGCTTTACATCTTGAATTGAAACGTAGTCATGAAAAAGAAGAGAAGGCTACTTTGGACAACAGGCAGCTAAATGAAAAAGTATCAGCATTAGAAAAAGAAACAGCAAGTTTGACGCTTGAATTAAAAGCTGCACAAGCTAGGTATAATCAAGAAGTTGTTGCACACCAAGAGACGGAAAGGTCGCGTATACTATCGAAGGAAGAAGCAAATCTGGAAGTTGTTAAAGGTATCTATATTATTTATATATATGTATATACATATTTATATATTAATATATTATATATCTATCAAGATTACAACAGTTTTATAAAATATATTATACTTTTACTTAAACGTACATCACAGGACATCATAATGGAATATTCTCAGGTAATAATAGTTATAATACTTGTTGTGTCGTTTCATTCGTTTAGTATCGTTTAAATGATTGTCAATTTAAATCTAATCAAAATTTGGTACTTTTTATTGCATTCATATTGGTGATGCTCTTCCTTTATGTATGTATATTATAATCAAAAATTATGTGTTGACAATTAAGAAAATAGAATTTTTAATGATATATTATTATTTCCTAAACAGCTTTACAAGCAAAATTGAACGAAGAGAAGAGTGGTAGACAAAAAGCGGAATTACTTGCACAAGAAAAGGAGAGACAAACTTCTATGCTATCGGTGGACTACAGACAAATCCAGCAACGTTTGCAGAAACTTGAGGGCGAACACAGACAAGAAGTGGAAAAAGTTAAAGTACTTCAGGGTCAGGTTGAACAGGAACAACAAAAGAGAAATGTTCTTCAAACTGATTTGGGACAACAGTCCTCGGAAGCTGGAAGATTACGTGCTAGGGAACAGCAGCTAATTGGTGAAGTAACACAATTAAGAGAAGCCAAACGACAGATAGAAGAAGAATTGCATCATTTGAAGACTCAAAGAAATGTTGATCAGCTACAGACTAAAGAATTACAAGAACAATTGGAAGCAGAAGCTTACTTTTCGGTAAATATATTTATCATTATTTTTTTAAAACATAAATAATATCCGTTGTTATTTCAACGAATGCATTTATTTTCTAGACTCTTTATAAAACACAAACTCAAGAATTACGCGAGGAACTTGAAGAGAAAACAAGATCACAGCAAGAGTTGGAAGAAGAACGCAGTTCTTTGGTTCATCAATTACAACTTTCTTTAACCAGAGGGGACAGTGAAGCATTGGCAAGATCAATAGCAGAAGAAACTGTGGCGGATCTTGAAAAAGAACGTACTATGAAGGAATTGGAATATAAAGATGGAGTTGCTAAACATCATCAGGAATTGAATGCTAAAGAACAGATTATAAACAGACTTAAAGATGGGGAAGCGGAATTAAAGAAATCTGTCGAACAATATATTAAAGAGAAAGAAGACTTGAATAAACGGATGAAAGAACTTCAAGAACAACTCAATAAAGCACAATCTAATGCAGAAGAAATAGAAAAACTCAGTAGTAAATTAAAGACTGAGCAAGTGCTTAAACAACAAGCTGTTAACAAGTTGGCTGAAATCATGAATAGAAAAGATGTATCATCTACTGGAAAAAATAAGAACAAGGCATCTGCTACGGATCTGAGAAAGAAGGAAAAAGACTGTAGACGCTTTCAGCAGGAACTTACTCAAGAACGTGAAAAATATGGACAATTGGCAGCTAAATGGCAGAAGGATTTACAAGATTTACAAGTAAGATCATTTTTAATCTTTATAAACTGCTTTTTATAAATGAAATATCTCTATAACACGTACACATGTTTTTAATTGAATATATTTTATAATTGTGCAGGCACAACTCGTGGAAGAAAATCAAGCAAAATTGAGGCTACAAATGGAATTGGATTCGAAGGATTCGGAAATTGAAACGTTGCAAATGAAAATAGCGAGCGTCAATTCAGAAACAGCAAGTGTTTCTTCCGTTGAAAATGATGGAGAAGATTCCGTTTTATCCGAGCACGGTTCTATGAGATTAGAGGGATGGTTAAACGTGCCAAACAAACAAAATATTAAGAGGCATGGTTGGAAGAAGCAATACGTGGTCGTTTCATCGAAAAAAATAATTTTTTATAATAGTGAAAACGATAAAATGAATGCCGATCCAGTTTTGATATTAGATTTGAGTAAAGTATTTCACGTTAGATCTGTCACGCAAGGTGATGTTATCCGCGCCAATGCCAAAGATATTCCTAGGATTTTTCAGGTAAATTTTTGGATAATCTTCGTTATAAAGCATAACGTTTAATAATTAAAATAATAATTATTTTGTATTATTATTCGTGTAGTTACTTTATGCTGGTGAAGGTGAAGCTAGAAGACCTGGGGACGAAGGTAATGCATTATCTGGAATAGAATTACCACAACTTACAGACAAACCTGGTACTCAACAATTGAAGGGTCACGAATTTGTTTCAATATCTTATCATATGCCAACTGCTTGTGAAGTTTGTTCTAAACAACTTTGGCATATGTTTCGTCCATCTCCGGCTCTGGAATGTCGAAGTAAGTTAGAAATAATTAAAAATTAATGATTGTTTTTAATGTAACACAAATTCTTATATAAATTCTTATATACGATTATACATAGGATGTCGTATAAAAGTTCATAAAGAACATTTGGAAAAGAAAGAAGATGCCATAGCTCCGTGTAAACTACATTACGATCCAAACAGTGCACGAGAATTGTTGGTCCTTGCGGGAAGTCCAGAGGAGCAAAAATATTGGGTTTCAAGATTATCTAGGCGTATACAAAAATGTGGTTATAAAGCTAATTCACATGTCGATGGCACAGGACAACGTGTCTCGCCAAGGTAGCGTAGCCGTGCAGCTCAACGTAGCCAGGGACTAAATAGATCTCGTGTATTGTGGCATCGCATGATCGGGTTTAGAGAGGTTAGAGTCGTTTCATTATTTCCCCTTTTCTCTTCATAAGCATCTCTTTCTATATTTACTAAACATATGAAATAGAGTCAATATTTCTAAATGTGCAAGAATCACAGTGCAAAAATTAAATCAGTTGTTCGGAGAGTATGTGAGGACAAGGAAACCATCCAGGTTGGCCAATAACTGTGTTCGTTGTGTTTACTGAAATAAATAGGGATCGTATTAGCTTTTTTTATACACTGCATGTCCAGCATATGAAACAATGCATTTTTATTTGAAAATATCTAGGATAATATTTAGATAGGAAATGGTGTTCAGATGTGTATTGTCCTTTTTGAAGTAAATCGAAATGAAGCATGAAAAGAATCATTTAAAATAAATATTCAAGATCATACGTTTTGAAAGCTTATTATCATGTTAATGGGCCAATAATAAATTTATTAATCCTTTCGATACGTTCACGAGTATAAAGGATGAAATATTACGCTGCAATGCATTTAAAGATTTTTAGATTTATATTTATATACAAATTTTAAACTGATATTAAATGTCTATGGATGATTATATAATCGGTGATAGTATCGAAAGGATTAATATGCATATATTTCTGGAAATTGCTGATACGCTTTTGGAGCTTTACATATATCGGGCATTGATAGTTATTTTTGTTCTATGGGAATGCATTTTTTTGACACTCGTCATCTTATTTGTGCCGTTCAATTTGTAGATATAAAAGATGGAATAAATATTCTGGCTTCCTTATTTATTTGTGATTCTTCTATCTTTTTTTTAGGGAATCGACAAGATCGACGTTAAAGCCATATTTATCGGTGCAACAACGCTCAGCAACATTGCCAGCAAATGCCAGTATGGGCAAGTGACCTTAGCTCGCATTGATAATAATTCTTCAATCGTCAGTGCACTTGATATTGTTATCATTTAGTCCTTTTTTACTAAGGTTCGCGGTACTTTAGTAAAACCAGCGTCGCATCGGTTGATTTTTCACTTTGTACACCCGATGATGATGACGATGATGATGATGAATGATGATCATGATTTATTAAGTTCATTATTCTCACATACATTTTCCAGAAGCCATGTGTTTCAGAGTCTACTACACTACTACTCCTAGTACTACTACTACTACTACTACTACTACTGCACTACTTCTTCTACTGCTACTACTACTACTACTACTACTACTGCTACTACCTACTTGTAGTTCCATGTGTTTGTGTCGGAATTAGCGATCGAAATACATTGTTAACAAATATCATATTAGTTGGAAAAAAAGAAGGAACAACACAGTAACAACAAATTAATTAACGACCATTGCGATATACCGGATATTTCATTAATCGGGTTATTATAGCGATGCAAGAAAATTCTAATCAAGTCCCAGAGCTGTATGGAAAAAACAGGGTTAATAGGATATACCAACAACAAGTGGAGTTTTAATAAACAAAGAAAAAAATCATTACTTTTTCCGAAATATAACCACATGTTATATACGATCAAGAAAACTAAAGTAATGCGAATGGAAAAGAGGATAAGAAAAGAATGACAGTGATGGAGGAGTCGTTATTTATAATAACAGTTATCGACATGAATAATTTTAACAAATTAGCGAGAAAAGAAATAACAGCAAACATAAATTTGCGATAAAGAAATCAAAGTGATGTATTAACGAACGATTTATGCAGCCTTCTTCTTCTTCATCTTTGGTATTAATTTGACTAGAAAAAAATTCATTGTATTATTATGACAAATGACTTTATCCATTTGTCGGAAGATACTCGATTTGTTGAAACTTTAATTAATTGATTAGGCATATCGCATATTCATTATAGTTTGTATATGAATGCTTAACTCTAACGTTCTTTGTACATACACTTTTTCGGCACCATATCCAAGGGATCAAACGGTGAGGTGCTTATTCATTTTATTTTATTTTATTTTTTTTTTTAATTTTATTTTTTTCCGTTTCTTATCCTAAACGTAGAAATCAAGATGGATATTCGAGCATTATTTGCTTGGAATACTAACGAGTAAATATATATACATATATATATATATAACCTATTTGTGT